AAAAAGAGTAGATAAGTTTCTGATATAGGACTTTGAAGTAGCATAAGGCAAAAGCATTCCAAACGGTTAACTTTCTGGCATCAGGCCAGAAGGACTCTCCAGTTCCAACACGGAGTGGGTAGCCTTTTGTCTCCATAAACCATGATCAGAGAGAGGCTTAACCCTTCAAACTGGAAACCGTAATGACTTCCTGCTTCTGTGGTTGGTTAAAATAATAGACCTGAAACTATGCTAAATTACCTGAATTAGACACATGCTATTTCTCAACTAAAATAAAATTTGCCTTTGGACTAAGTTGTTTGAGGATGTTGAACTAAATGGTCAGATGGAGAAATAGGTTGTAGTGAAAAATGGAGGAAATGAGGCTGGCAGTGTTGAAGACAAAGCTTTCACTGGAGAAACCCAGTCTGCTTGACCCTTGCTGGTACCTCCTGGGAGACTAAGGTAAACAAAGATGAGGGCGAAACCCAACCCAACTGTTAGGAACAGCAATCCTGTTTAGGACACGAATTGTACATTAAACATGGGAATAATGAAGTCATTAGCAACTCAGTTCTTGCTTGTGGATCCAGGGGAATAAGTTTGCCGTCTCTTTTCTGTAAACTCATTTATTTCATTTGCAGCCTGAATCCTCACTCGCTGCTCCCATCCTCACGTCCCACCACCTGCTGGACATCTCAGAGAGGTGTAGACTTAGGGTCACTAAGCTGACAAAGGCAGTACTTCTGTTTTGTCTGCCTATACTTGTCAAGCACATCAGGCCTGAACCATAAATTAGCACTCCCACCCCCTCTCCGAGTACACTCTTGCTCATGTGCTCTCTGCCTCCATTCACTGCACAACCTCTTCTCTGGTGGGAACCCTGGTTGTCACTGATATTTCCTCTCTACTCCCCTCTCTAGACTGCTACCCCTGAGCCTTATTGACCTCTCTCCAGATGCCTTTTCATCCTCTGCCTTGAATGAGGTCCTTCACTTCAGCAATAAAAGCCTGTAGGTGCATTCTCCTGTATCTTTCCTCTCCAGTCTGTTCTTTACATGAGAGTAAGATCTCTTTAACATTGCATGTCATACTGGTTTGGTGGTGATGAACTCCTTTAGCTTTTCCTTCTCTGGGAAGCTCTTTATCTGGCCTTCAATTCTACATGATAGCTTTGCTGGGTAGAGTAATCTTGGTTGCAGGTCCTTGCTATTCATCACTTTGAATATTTCTTGCCACTCCCTTCTGCCTGCATAGTTTCTGTTGAGAAATCAGCTGACAGTTGTATGGGAGCTCTCTTGTAGCTAACTAGCTGCTTTTCTCTTGCTGCTTTTAAGATTCTCTTTGTCTTTAACCTGTGGCATTTTAATTATGTGTTTTGGTATGAGAATTTTTGGGATAATCACTCAAGTTTTATAATATCTAATCACTGGAGTGATATAGAATATTGTATGTCAACTATAATTGAAAAGCAAACAAAAAAATAATTTATATGAAAATTTAAAAAGACAAAGTGAGATCTCAAAGCAGGAATCAAACCCTGTTGATCTTCCTCCTTAAAGAGTTCCACTGGTCCTCAGAGCTGGTGGTTTCTCCCTCCCAACATGGCATTCCACTTTTCATTTGTGGTCGGGTTGTGATCTTAGCAGCAGGTCTCACCCTGGCTGCACACGAAGTGCTCAGGCCAAGCACAGGCCAATTAAATCATAGCCTCTGGGAATGGGTCCCAGGTGATTGTACCATGCAGCCCCAGCCCCAGCCCCAGGAGGACACAGCCCGCTGTGCTGCTGCTACATCCCATTCCACCAGTGTGGTGCCACAACAAGCTCCCAGCCAGTCCTGACTAGAGGGACGTATCAATTTTGAGTCACTGTCAGGCAGCTATTCTCACTTTCCTGAACTGAGCCCTGCCCAGCCTCCATTCTCTGCCTATGTATGCCATTTCTTAAACCTAGAACACCTTCTCATAACCTATTAAGATGTGATTCCTCATAATATTTTAGTTTAAAATGCCACGCTCCCAATTAGAATTAGTCACCTATGATAAGACATAACACTTAACATGGGACATAAAGTTAGGGAGCACTGGATAAATGTTTGTTGAAATGCAGTTACATGTTTCTGAAGATGGATTCTGGCTGCTGGATACCGAAGCTTTAGGGCCACTGGAGCTAGCCAGACAACTAACACTAATCAAGGAAAAACCTTTAGTCCTTAGTTACAGGAAAATGGATACACAAATCATTCAACCTAATGTTTTTTATTACTGGTTTGTTAGTTTTTCATCGTTGTTTTAACAAGCTATAGATTTATCATACTTCCATAATCAATGTATTCCTGAGAGAACATTTAAACACTGAGATGCATAGTATTTTAACACTTTTTACTGAATAACTTGGTTGAAGGGAATCCAGCACACACCAGACACTAGTGTAACAGCTCCCACAAATACAACTAAATTGAGAGGTGGCTGTTATTGTTTCTAGTCTAATTTTTAAAGCTTCACAGCATACAGAAAAGCTATTTCAGTCTCAGAAGAGTAATCTTGGCTGTAGGTCCTTGCTGTTCATCACTTTGAATATTTCTTGCCACTCCCTTCTGGTCTGATATGTTTCTGTTAAGAAATCAGCTGACAGTCCTTTGGGCCATCCCTTGTAACTAACTGCTTTTCTCTTGCTGCTTTTAAGATTCTCTCTATGTATTTACCCTTGGCATTTTAATTATGATGTGTCCTGGTGTGGGCCTCTTTGGGTTCCTCTTGTTTGGGATTCTCTGTGCTTCCTGGACTTGTAAGTCTATTTCTTTCACCAGGTAAGGGAAGTTTTCTATCATTATTTCTTCAAATAGGTTTTCAACATCTTGCTCTCTCTCTTCTCCTTATAGCACCCCTATAATGTAAATATTGGTACACTTGAAGTTGTCCCAGAGACTCCTTACATTATCTTCATATTTTTGGATTCTTTTTTCTTTTTGCTATTGTGATTGGGTGTTTTTTGCTTTCTCATATCCCAAATCATTGATTTGATTCTCAGAACTTCCTCTACTGTTGAATCCCTATAAATTATTCTTTATTTCACTTTGTGTATGCTTAATTCTTTACTGATGTGGTTTTTTTTCATGACTTTGACATTCTCACTAAAATCCTTGAAAGTCTCATAAAGAGCCTTGAGTAACCTTATAACCATGGTTTTGAACTGTGTATCCAAGTAGTTTGCTTTCTTCCATTTCTTCCATTTGTGACATGTTTCTTTGTCTCTGCATTTTGGCTGCTTCCCTGTGTTTGTTTTTGTGGATTAGGTGTAGCTGCTGTGTCTCCTGGAATTGGTAGAGTGGCCTTGTGTAGTAGATGTCCTGCAGGGCCCAGTGGCTCAGCACTTTAAGTCTGCCCCTGTGTGGGCTGTGTACAGTTTTGTTGAGCCTTGATTGCTGTTGGCATCACTGGGAGAAGTAAACTTACAGGCTAATTGGCTATGAAGACCAGCTGTGACTATAGTGGAAAAGCTGCTGTGCAGGAAACACCCCTATGGAGCAGGACTTGCTTCAGTGGGGCTTTGGTGCTCACTGAGTCTGCCTCTTGAGTGTGTCACTTGTGGATGTGTAGTGTTGTAATCTGCTATGATCTGAAGCTGTCCACCAGGTGCACTGGCTCTAGGGCCTCCAGGGAGGTGCAAAGCCAGCCACTTCCTGGGGCCACCTGGCAGGAGCTACAGAGATATCTGCAGATGGCTATTTCCTGTTTGTATTGGGCTTGGAGGTGCCCAGGCAAAGCCCAGCTGTGAAGAAAGGCAGGCTGGTGCTAGTGCTGAGTCTTGGGCCTTTTATTGATAGGATTGGGGCCCTCTGGCACCAGCTGCAGCTTGTTTGAGAGATTTTAGCAAAGTCTGAAGCCTGAGCCAGGACAGGTCATTCATATGGAAAAGCTGCTGCAAACAGCTTGGGTGGGGCTTATTGGATGGGATGGGGTTTCAGGGAATCACTGGGTGTAGCAAACAGTGTGCTCTGGACTGATGAAGACTCAATAATGGCTGCCAGTCAGCCTGTGACAGGGGAAGTCAGAGCACAGGAATAATGACCTCTATGAGCATCCCTGTCTGGGAGAAAGCCACCCCAAGTTCCTGCCCTGATGCCAGCAATCAGTTCCTCCCCATATGTGTCTGGGTCCTCTGGCGCTAAAGCTCAGAAGAAGTAGGATCAATCATGTAAGTTTGTGCACTCACCCTTTAAGAGGAACACCTAGGATTCCAGCCACCTCCTTATCACTCAGCTACAATCCTGAAATTACAAGGACTTCTCTTTCCAGCTCTGGAACCCTGGGCTGGGGCTCTGGTGTGGAGCTGGGGCCCCTTGCTCCTCATGGGTAGTCTCCATAGAGACGATCTCCCTCCTGATTAAAAAATGGCACACATGTGTGTCAGACCCACGGTTATGTGCCTCTGTCCTTCCTACCAGTCTCAATGTGCTTTTCTTCTTTACTTCTCTAGTTGTGGGATTTCCATTCAGCCAGCTTTCAGGTGGTTCTGAATGATGGTGGTCTGTATTTTAGCTGTAATTTTGATGTGGTTGTGGGAAGCGGCCAGTACGGGCATTTACCTATGCCACCATCTTGATTCTTTCTGGGAAATTAAGAGGATGTCTCCACCAAAATGAGTGAATAACTCTTTAAAGAGACAGAGATGAAATCCAGAAAACAGCAGATCCATTCAAAAGGAAGCTTATTTGTTCACTTTAATATCCATTGCATGAATATATTCCTATTATTCCACTCTACTGTTGGTGGACAGTTGGAGTGATTCCATTTGGGATCTGCTGTGGAACTGCTATTGGATGGTTGTGTGTGTGTATCTTCACCTCTATTAAATAGTGCCAAACTGTTGGCCGGAGTCCTTCTACTGGGTCAGCAACTGAAGAGCATTCTTAGTATGTCACATCTTTGCTAAAATTTTATATCTTCAGACTTGGTAAATTTTGCCCATTGATATTTTGTAAAAGCTTGAATCACTGCATTTCATTTCTGACCACAGCTTATCTGATCCCAGTGAAACAATCTCCTGTTAATAAGAAAATCATCATCATCTTAGAGAACTTGGAAAAAGCTTCACTGTCTGAATTATTGGGAGATTTCTTGGCACCTCTGGAAAATCGCAGCACTGAAAGCCCCTGTACTTTTTCAAAAGGTAAAGATTGTGGCGAGATGAGAGCATGCTGAGAAGCAAGCTCCCATGAGACTATTCTACATTTTCTGTTCCCCAGAATACATGCTAGACTTCATGTTCTTTCTTTGACTTATTGTAATTTGCATGTGTCCCATAATATGGCTTATTTTAGGAAACGGAATGCCAGAATGTTACTACTTTCATGAGAACTGCTTTCTGATGGGCACCATTGCCAAGGCCTGCCTCCAGGGCTCCGACTTGCTGGTGCAGCAGCATTTCCGCTGGGTGCAGCTGCGGTGGGATGGCGAGCCCATGCAGGGCCTGCTGCAGAGGTCCTTAAGAAGGAAAGTTGTGAATAAGGTAAAACCCACAGCTGCAGCCTATTGTTGGGAGAGGGGCTTTGGGAGACCTGGGCTTGGTCCTATCTTTTAGTAATCATGTGGCCTTAGGCAAGTGCAATGTTTGGATAGTCAGGGGTTAAATAAGAGAACGCATATAAAACCCATAAAGTTTCTGGACTATGTTAAGTTTTTTGAAAAAGGCAAATAGGTTTTACCATTATTAATTCTTCTCAGGGCGTCTCACCAAGTTCTAAGTTCTGTGGAAGACTAGATTGGAAAATTACTCTTCTTAAGGAGGAGCCACTGCTACAGGGGCCTTCAGAATATTATCCATCTACTCAAGCTACTTTTAATATATGACTTAAACCTGCCACAGTAATACTAAAAAGTGACATGAAAAATTAGAATTCTCTTTTGACACATTTTATATTTTAACATTTTTTTATATTTCAATTACAGTTGACATACAGTATATTAGTTTCAGGTGTACAACATAGCAATTAGACATTTATGAAACTTATGAAGTGAAGACCCCAATAAATCCACTGATATACACCTAGGTTGCTTCATATCTTGGCTATCTAATCTAAGAAAAGACAAGCATGCAAATTGACCATACCTTTGCTATGCCTTAAGCCACGCCCACCAGCCAATCAGAGTGACTATATGCAAATTAACCCAACCAAGATGGCGGCCAGCAGCCACGGAGCTGGAGCAAACAGGAGGCTTGGTTGCTCCAGTGATGGAGGAAGCCAAGCTTCCTGCCTGCCATGGCCAGCTCTGAGCTCCACTGAAGACAACAAAGTTTCAATTATAGAAGGTAAATAAATCCCAGAATAAAAGAAAAAAAGGAGAGGCTGGGAGCTTCCATCGCCAGGGGGCTTGGCCAGCCTGCAAACAGCCATCAGCCCCTCACCCAGGCTGGCCAGGCACCCCAGCGGGACCCCCACCCTGATCCGGGACACCCTTCAGGGCAAACCAGCCGGCCCACACCCATGCACCAGGCCTCTATCCTATATAATAAAAGGGTAATATGCAAACTGACCCTAACAGCAGAAAGACTGGGAATGACTGGTCACTATGACACACACTGACCACCAGGGGGCAGATGCTCAATGCAGGAGCTGCCCCCTGGTGGTCAGTGCCCTCCCACAGGGGGAGCTCTGCTCAGCCACAAGTCAGGCTGATGGCTGCCAGTACAGCGGTGGTGGTAAGAGCCTCTCCCGCCTCCTCAGCAGCACTAAGGATGTCAGAGTGCAGCTTAGGCCTGCTTCCCGCTGGCAAGTGGACATCCCCTGAGCATTCCCGGGCTGCCAGAGGGATGTCTGATTGCCAGCTTAGGCCCAATCCCCCGGGGAGCAGGCCTAAGCCAGCAGGTGGTCATCCCCCGAGGGGTCCCAGACTGCGAGAGGGCACAGGCCGGGCTGTGGGACCCTCCCTGCCAAGTGCACCGGGCCTATAGTCCTATATAATAAAAGCCTAATATGCTAAGTGTCTGGTTGACCAGTCAGCTGTTCAACCAATCAAAGCGTAATATGCTAATGATATGCTAAGGCTGCTCAACTGCTCACTATGACGTGCACTGACCACCAGGGGGCAGACAGTCGATAGGTCACAGTCAACCAGTCGCTATGACATGTACTAACCACCAGGGGGCAGATGCTACAACCGGTAGGTTAGCTTGCTGCTAGGGTCCAGCCAATCAGGACTGAGCAAGATGGACTGGATATGCACGAATTTCATGCATCGGGCCTCTAGTTGCTTAATAAAATTGTATAGGTTTGAGGTATACAAATATACAGTACATCATCTGTATACTGTATTGTGTATTTACCACCCCAACTCAAATTTCTTTCCATTACCATTTAGCCTTCCTTTACTCTCTTCTACCTCTCCCAAACCCCTTTCCCTCTGGCAGTCACTATATTGCTGTCTGTGTCCATGAGTCGTCTTCTTTTTTTTTCTTTGCTTAATACCTTAAGGGTATTATTTTGTTATTCATTCAGCCACATATATCTTTTGATTGGAACATTTAGTTCATTTACATTTAAAGTAATTGTTACCATTTTATTCATATGTTTTTCTTTTTTTTTTTCCTTAAAGCTTTCCCTCTGGCAGTCACTATATTGCTGTCTGTGTCCATGAGTCGTCTTCTTTTTTTTTCTTTGCTTAATACCTTAAGGGTATTATTTTGTTATTCATTCAGCCACATATATCTTTTGATTGGAACATTTAGTTCATTTACATTTAAAGTAATTGTTACCATTTTATTCATATGTTTTTCTTTTTTTTTTTCCTTAAAGAGTCCCTTTTGTTACCATTTTATTCATATGTTTTTCTTTTTTTTTTTTTCTTAAAGAGTCCCTTTAATATTTCTTGTAATACTGGTTTGGTGGTGATGGACTCATTTAGCCCTTTAAACGAGTCTGGGAAGCCCTTTATCTGTTCTTCAATTTTCATATCTGTTCTTCAGTTCTAAATGATATCTTTGCTGGATTGACTAATGTTGCTTATAAATACTTGCTGTTCATCATTCTGAATATTTCATACCAGTCCCTTCTGGCCTGATATGTTTCTGTTGAGAAATCAGCTGACACTTGCACAGGGCTCCCTTGTAGGTAACCAACTGCTTCTCTTGCTGCTTTTAAGATTCTCCCTTTGCCTTTAACTTTTGACATTTTAATTTACAGTATATCTTGATGTGTGCCTCTTTGGGTTCATCATGTTTGGGACTGCAATTCCTGGGCTTGTATTTCCTTCACCAGGTTAGGGAAATTTTCCCTCATTATTTCTTCAAATATGTTTTCAATCCCTTGCTCTCTCTCTTCTCCTTCTGGTAACCCTGTAATGCAAATGTTTGTATTCTTGGCATTTTCCCAGGGGCCCCTTAAACTATCCTCATTTTTTTATATTCCTTTTTTTTCCTTTTTTAAATATATTTTTATTGATTTCAGAGAGGGAGAGGGAGAGACATTGATTGTCTGCCTCCTACATGCCCCACACTGGGAAATTGAACCCACAACCCAAACATATTCTCTGACCAGGAATCAAACCATGACCTCCTGGTTCGTAGGTCAATGCTCAACCACTGAGTCATACAGGCCAGGCTAGATTCCTTTTTGCTGTTCTGATTGGGTGTTTTCTGCTACCTTATCTTCCAAATTGCTGATTTGATCCTCTACTTCATCTAATGTACTGTTAATTACCTCTACTGTATTCTTCAGTTCAATGATATTCTTCATGTCTGAAAAGTTCTTTTTTGTTTTATATCTACACTAGAGGCCCAATGCACGGAATTTGTGCAAGAGTAGGCCTTCCTTCCCCTGGCTGCCGACACTGGCTTCCCTCTGGCACCTGGGACCCGGGCTTCCCTCCGGCCATCAGCAGGCACCCAGGACCCAGGCTTCCCTCACAGCCCCAGCTTCATCTGGAAGGTCTTCCGGAAGGATATCCGGTCTAATTAGCATATTATGCTTTTATTATTATAGATTTTTATGTTTCCTGCCTCTTTGCTCAAGTTCTCATTGAGTCATTGAGCCCCCTTATAAACAGTGTTTTGAACTCTGTATCTGGTAGATTGTCTCCATTTTGTTCAGTTCTTTTTCTGGAGTTTTTTTTTTCTGTTCTTTCATTTCATGTTTCTTTGTCTCCTCATTTTGGCTGCCTCCATGTGTTTGTTTCTATGAATTAGGTAGAGCTGCTGTATTTCTTAGTCTTGATAGTGTGGTCTTACGTATTAGGTGTCCTGTGGGGCCCAGTCACACAATCACCGTTGTCCCCTGAGCTGGGTGCTCCAACTGTGTCCCTCATGTGGATTATGTGTGTCCTCCTGTTGTAGATGAGCCATTATTGCTATTTGACCATAATTGAGAGGGATTGATCCTCAGGCTGATTGGTAGTGAGGGTTGCCCATGACTACAGTGGAGGAGCTGTTGTACAGGGGCTGACCCTACAGAGCAAGATTTGCTTTAGGAGGCTCTGGTGCCTGCTGAGTCTGCCCTTTGGGTGAATCCTTTGTGGAAGTGGTGGGTGGTGCTCTGCTGTGATCCAAAGCTGGCCACCAGGTGTGTTAGTTCTAGAACTTCCTGAGAGTGGCTCTGGTATAGGCCATGGTTAGCCACTGCCTGTGCCCTTCCCCAGAGCCACTTGGTATGAGCTACAAGGTGCTGTGAAGATGGTTGCCACTTGTTCTGGGATTGGAGGTGCCTGGGAGAGGCTAACCTGTGAACTGAAGCTGGCTTCCACTATTGCTGGGCTTGAGGTTGCCTAGTAAGAAGAGGTATGAGGTATGTGAGACCAGATACTACTTGTTTGAGCCTGTGATCCTTTGAGTGATTTTTGGAAAGACTGGAGCATGAGCCAAGACAGGCTGTTTATATGGAAAAGCCACCAGAAAGAGCATAGGTGACCCCACAAGTTGGGTGTGGTGGGTGGGGTCTCAGGGAATCACCAAGGAGAGCAAACAGTGTTAGCCATGTGGATGGAGATTCAGATATGGCTCCCATTTTCTCGTGCATGTGGGGGGCTCAGCAAAGGAACAATGGCCTCTTGCCAGCACTTATGTTAACACCAGCCCTCATGCTGAAGCCAGACAGGTCAGTCCCACCTCATACGTCCCTGGCTCCTTTTGAACTTCTGCCCCAGCACTGTATCTCACAGTGAGTGAGTCTATCAGTAAGTTTGTGTGCAGGATCTTTAAGAGGAACTCCTGTGACTCCAGGAGCTCTTTGTCTCAGCCACAACCCCCACTGGTTTTCACAGCCAGAAGTTGTGAGGACTTCCTTTCCTGGCACTAGAACCCAGGGCTGGGGAGCCTGGTATGGGACTGGGATTCCTCACTCCTAAGGGAAGACCTTTGCAACTCAGATATACCTCCCGATTTTTTACCACCACCAAACGTGGGTGTGGGACCTGCTCATTCTGTGTCTCCACCCCTCCGACTAGTGTCAGTGTGGCTTCTTCTGTATATCCTTAGCTGTAGAAGTGTTCAGCTAGTCTTCAGGCGTTCTGAATGGTGTG